TGGTGTGTAGGGTGGTGGTGGTGGTATGGGATGGTTGTGTAGGGTGGTGGTGATGGTATGGGATGGTGTGTAGGGTGGTGATGGTCTGGGATGGTGTGTAGGGTGGTGGTGGTGGTGATGGTATGGGATGGTGTGTAGGGTGGTGGTGGTGATGGTATGGGATGGTGTGTAGGGTGGTGGTGATGTTATGGATGGTGTGTAGGGTGGTGGTGGTGATGTATGGGATGGTGTGTAGGGTGGTGTGATGGTATGGGATGGTGTGTAGGGTGGTGGTGATGGTATGGGATGGTGTGTAGGGTGGTGATGGTATGGGATGGTGTGTAGGGTGGTGGTGGTGATGGTATGGTGATGGTGTGTAGGGTGGTGGTGGTGGTGATGGTATGGGATGGTGTGTAGGGTGGTGGTGGTGGTGATGGTATGGAATGGTGTGTAGGGTGGTGGTGGTGGTATGGGATGGTGTGTAGGGTGGTGGTGATGGTATGGGATGGTGTGTAGCGTGGTGGTGATGGTATAGGATGGTGTGTAGGGGTGTGATGGTATGGGATGGTGTGTAGGGTGGTGGTGGTGATGGTATGGGATGGTCTGTAGGGTGGTGGTGTGATGGTATGGGATGGTGTGTAGGGTGGTGGTGGTGGTGGTGATGGTATGGAATGGTGTCTAGGGTGGTGGTGGTGGTGATGGTATGGGATGGTGTGTAGGGTCGTGGTGGTGGTATGGGATGGTGTGTAGGGTGGTGGTGATGGTATGGGATGGTGTGTAGGGTGGTGTTGATGGTATGGGATGGTGTGTAGGGTGGTGATGGTTTGGGATGGTGTGTAGGGTGGTGGTGGTGATGGTATGGGATGGTGTGTAGGGTGGTGGTGGTGGTGATGGTATGGAATGGTGTGTAGGGTGGTGGTCATGATGGTATGGGATGGTGTGTAGGGTGGTGGTGGTGGTGGTATGGGATGGTGTGTAGGGTGGTGGTGATGGTATGGGATGGTGTGTAGGGTGGTGGTGATGGTATGGGGATGGTGTGTAGGGTGGTGATGGTATGGGATGGTGTGTAGGGTGGTGGTGTGTGATGGTATGGGATGGTGTGTAGGGTGGTGGTGGTGGTATGGGATGGTGTGTAGGGTGGTGGTGATGGTATGGGATGGTGTGTAGGGTGGTGATGGTATGGGATGGTGTGTAGGGTGGTGGTGGTGGTGATGGTATGGGATGGTGTGTAGGGTGGTGGTGGTGATGGTATGGGATGGTGTGTAGGGTGGTGGTGATGGTATGGAATGGTGTGTAGGGTGGTGGTGGTGGTGATGGTATGGGATGGTGTGTAGGGTGTGTGATGGTATGGGATGGTGTGTAGGGCGTGGTGATGGTATGGGATGGTGTGTAGGGTGGTGATGGTATGGGATGGTGTGTAGGGTGGTGGTGGTGATGGTATGGATGGTGTGTAGGGTGGTGGTGGTGGTGATTGTATGGGATGGTGTGTAGGGTGGTGGTGGTGGTGATGGTATGGAATGGTGTGTAGAGTGGTGGTGGTGGTGGTATGGGATGGTGTGTAGGGTGGTGGTGATGGTATGGGATGGTGTGTAGGGTGGTGGTGACGGTATGGGATGGTGTGTAGGGTGGTGGTGATGGTATGGGATGGTGTGTAGGGTGGTGGTGGTATGGGATGGTGTGTAGGGTGGTGGTGATGGTATGGGATGGTGTGTAGGGTGGTGTGATGGTATGGGATGGTGTGTAGGGTGGTAATGGTATGGGATGGTGTGTAGGGTGGTGGTGGTGATTGGTATGGGGTGGTGTGTAGGGTGGTGGTGATGGTATGGGATGGTGTGTAGGGTGGTGGTGATGGTATGGGATGGTGTGTAGGGTGGTGGTGGTTGTATGGGATGGTGTGTAGGGTGGTGGTGATGGTATGGGCTGGTGTGTAGGGTGGTGGTGCTGGTATGGGATGGTGTGTAGGGTGGTGGTGATGGTATGGGATGGTGTGTAGGGTGGTGGTGGTGGTGATGGTATGGGATGGTGTGTAGGGTGGTGGTGGTGGTGGTGATGGTATGGAATGGTGTGTAGGGTGGTGGTCATGATGGTATGGGATGGTGTGTAGGGTGGTGGTGGTGGTGGTATGGGATGGTGTGTAGGGTGGTGGTGATGGTATGGGATGGTGTGTAGGGTGGTGGTGGTATGGGATGGTGTGTAGGGTGGTGATGGTATGGGATGGTGTGTAGGGTGGTGGTGGTGATGGTATGGGATGGTGTGTAGGGTGGTGGTGGTGGTATGGGATGGTGTGTAGGGTGGTGGTGATGGTATGGGATGGTGTGTAGGGTGGTGATGGTATGGGATGGTGTGTAGGGTGGTGGTGGTGGTGATGGTATGGGATGGTGTGTAGGGTGGTGGTGGTGATGGTATGGGATGGTGTGTAGGGTGGTGGTGATGGTATGGAATGGTGTGTAGGGTGGTGGTGGTGATGGTATGGGATGGTGTGTAGGGTGGTGGTGATGGTATGGGATGGTGTGTAGGGCGGTGGTGATGGTATGGGATGGTGTGTAGGGTGGTGATGGTATGGGATGGTGTGTAGGGTGGTGGTGGTGATGGTATGGGATGGTGTGTAGGGTGGTGGTGGTGGTGATGGTATGGGATGGTGTGTAGGGTGGTGGTGGTGGTGGTGATGGTATGGAATGGTGTGTAGGGTGGTGGTGGTGGTATGGGATGGTGTGTAGGGTGGTGGTGATGGTATGGGATGGTGTGTAGGGTGGTGGTGACGGTATGGGATGGTGTGTAGGGTGGTGGTGATGGTATGGGATGGTGTGTAGGGTGGTGGTGGTGATGGTATGGGATGGTGTGTAGGGTGGTGGTGATGGTATGGGATGGTGTGTAGGGTGGTGGTGATGGTATGGGATGGTGTGTAGGGTGGTGGTGGTGGTATGGGATGGTGTGTAGGGTGGTGGTGATGGTATGGGATGGTGTGTAGGGTGGTGGTGATGGTATGGGATGGTGTGTAGGGTGGTAATGGTATGGGATGGTGTGTGTGGTGGTGGTGATGGTATGGGATGGTGTGTAGGGTGGTGGTGATGGTATGGGATGGTGTGTAGGGTGGTGGTGATGGTATGGGATGGTGTGTAGGGTGGTGGTGATTGTATGGGATGGTGTGTAGGGTGGTGGTGGTGGTGATGGTATGGGATGGTGTGTAGGGTGGTGGTGGTGATGGTATGGAATGGTGTGTAGGGTGGTGGTGGTGGTGGTGGTATGGGATGGTGTGTAGGGTGGTGGTGATGGTATGGGATGGTGTGTAGGGTGGTGGTGATGGTATGGGATGGTGTGTAGGGTGGTGGTGGTGGTGGTATGGGATGGTGTGTAGGGTGGTGGTGATGGTATGGGATGGTGTGTAGGGTGGTGGTGACGGTATGGGATGGTGTGTAGGGTGGTGGTGATGGTATGGGATGGTGTGTAGGGTGGTGGTGGTGATGGTATGGGATGGTGTGTAGGGTGGTGGTGATGGTATGGGATGGTGTGTAGGGTGGTGGTGATGGTATGGGATGGTGTGTAGGGTGGTGGTGGTGGTGGTATGGGATGGTGTGTAGGGTGGTGGTGATGGTATGGGATGGTGTGTAGGGTGGTGGTGATGGTATGGGATGGTGTGTAGGGTGGTAATGGTATGGGATGGTGTGTGTGGTGGTGGTGATGGTATGGGATGGTGTGTAGGGTGGTGGTGATGATATGGGATGGTGTGTAGGGTGGTGGTGATGGTATGGGATGGTGTGTAGGGTGGTGGTGATAGTATGGGATGGTGTGTAGGGTGGTGGTGGTGGTGATGGTATGGGATGGTGTGTAGGGTGGTGGTGGTGATGGTATGGAATGGTGTGTAGGGTGGTGGTGGTGGTGGTGGTATGGGATGGTGTGTAGGGTGGTGGTGATGGTATGGGATGGTGTGTAGGGTGGTGGTGATGGTATGGGATGGTGTGTAGGGTGGTGGTGGTGGTATGGGATGGTGTGTAGGGTGGTGGTGATGGTATGGGATGGTGTGTAGGGTGGTGGTGATGGTATGGGATGGTGTGTAGGGTGGTAATGGTATGGAATGGTGCGTAGGGTGGTGGTGGTGATGGTATGGGATGGTGTGTAGGGTGGTGGTGATGATATGGGATGGTGTGTAGGGTGGTGGTGATGGTATGGGATGGTGTGTAGGGTGGTGGTGATGGTATGGGATGGTGTAGGGTGGTGGTGGTGGTATGGGATGGTGTGTAGGGTGGTGGTGATGGTATGGGATGGTGTGTAGGGTGGTGGTGGTGGTATGGAATGGTGTGTAGGGTGGTGGTGGTGGTGATGGTATGGGATGGTGTAGGGTGGTGGTGATGGTATGGGATGGGGTGTAGGGTGGTGGTACGGGCTGGGGGCTGTTCCCCGCTCGAGGTCGCTCGGCCCCGCCCTGCGCTGCTGCCGCCGTTGCTGGGAGCGACTGCGGAGCAGCGCGGCGCTGCTGCTGCTGCTGAGGCTGCCGCCTCCACTGCGCACGAGAGGGAGGCGCAGAGACGGAGCAGAGGAGCCCGTGCGGTGATTGCTGCGGGTGAGACGTGAGGGCAAGGGGGGCCGTGTGCGGGGAGAGAAGCCGAGAGGAGAGGATAGGAGGAGATAGAGGAGAGGGTAGGAGGAGATAGAGGAGAGGGTAGGGGGAGATAGAGGAGAGGGTAGGGGGAGATAGAGGAGAGGGTAGGAGGAGATAGAGGAGAGGGTAGGAGGAGATAGAGGAGAGGGTAGGGGGAGATAGAGAAGAGGGTAGGAGGAGATAGAGGAGAGGGTAGGAGGAGATAGAGGAGAGGGTAGGAGGAGAGAGGAGGAGGTAGGTGGAGATAGAGGAGGGGGTAGGAGGAGATAGAGGAGAAGGTAGGAGGAGATAGAGGAGAAGGTAGGAGGAGGAGATAGAGGAGGGGGTATGAGGAGATAGAGGAGGGGGTAGGAGGAGGAGATAGAGGAGCGGGTAGGAGGAGATAGAGAGGGTAGGAGGAAGAGATAGAGGAGCGGGTAGGAGGAGATAGAGGAGGTAGGAGGAGATAGAGGAGGGGGTAGGAGGAGATAGAGGAGAGAGAGGAGGAGGCTGCGCTGCTGCGGTCGATGCGGACGTCGTTAAGATGCAGTGCGCGTCCCCGCCTCGCGTGTGAGAGCCAACCACTGAGCATTGAGTGGCGGCAGCAGCAGCAGCGAGAGGAGGAAGACCGAGAGGAACGCCAACAGCGGCAGCAGCAGCAGCAGCAGCGGCGGCGTCTTCATCACCGGTCGCGGCTGCGCGCGGACAAAGGAGCCAGGAGCCCCGCCGCTCGCCCGGCCCGCGCCGCCCATGGGCGCTGCAGCGCCGCCGCCCTGCCGCTGCTGGAGCCGGGAGAGCGTCGCGCGTCACCATCACCACCATCATCATCATCGCGACCCCGCGGGGCGGCGGCGCCAGCGATGACAGCGACGACGAGGACGACGAGAGCGGCCCCTCGGATACCCACCACCCTCACCACCCTCACCAGCCTCACCAGCCTCGCCACCCTCACCCTCCTCACCCTCCTCCTGGTGGTGGCGGAGCAAGGGCTGGCGGCAGCCAGACCCGCAGGTGCGACGCAGCTCCATCACGCTCAGCACGCACTTGGCGCTCACTCACCACTCGCAGCACTCACCACTCTATCACCACTCACACCTCACTCACTACTCACACAGTGGTGTTACTCGCACGCCACGCACTCATCAATTACACTCCTCATACACATCACACACACACCACTCATACACATCACACACACACCACTCACACTCCTCACACACACCACACACACACCACTCACACTCCTCACACACACTCCTCATACACAACACACACACACACCACTCATACACATCACACACACACCACTCATACACATCACACACACCACTCACACTCCTCACACATCACACACACCACACACCACTCACACTCCTCACACACACTCCTCACACACATCACACACACCACTCATACACATCACACACACACACATCACACACACCACACACATACCACTCACACTCCTCACACACAACCCTCACACACATCACACACACTCCTCACACACACCACTCATACACATCACACACACACACACACACCACTCATACACATCACACACACCACTCACACACATCACACACACCACTCACACACATCACACACACTCCTCACACACATCACACACACTCCTCACACACATCACACACACTCCTCACACACATCACACACCACTCATACACATCACACACACTCCTCACACACACTACTCACACACATCACATACACTCATCACACACACCACTCACACACATTGCACACACTCCTCACATACATTACACGCACCACTCACATTCCTCACACACATCACACACACACACCACTCACACTCCTCATACACAACCCTCACACACATCACACACACACCACTCATACACATCACACACACCCCTCACACACATCACACACACCCCTCACATACATCACACACACCACTCACACACATCACACACACCACTCATACACATCACACACAACCCTCACACACATCACTCACACACATCACACACACTCCTCACACTCCTTACACACACCACTCACACACATCACACACTCCTCACATACATCACACTCACCACTCACACACATCACACACACTCCTCACACATACACATCACACACACACCACTCACACTCCTCACACACAACCCTCACACACATCACACACACACTCCTCACACACACCACTCATACACATCACACACACCACTCACACTCCTCACACATACACATCACACACACCCATCACACACACCACACACACACCACTCACACTCCTCACACACAACCCTCACACACATCACACACACACCACTGACACTCCTCACACACAACCCTCACACACATCACACACACCACTCACACACATCACACACCCCCTCACACACATCACACACACACATCACACACACATCACACACACCCCTCACACACATCACACACACCCATCACACACATCACACACACCACTCACACACATCACACACCCCCTCACACACATCACACACACACATCACACACACCCCTCACACACATCACACAAACCCATCACACGCATCACACACACCACTCACACACATCACCCACACCCCTCACACACATCACACGCACCCCTCACACACATCACACACACCCCTCACACACACCACACACACCCCTCACACACATCACACACACCCCTCACACACATCACACACATCACACCTACCCCTCACACACATCACACACACCCCTCACACACATCACACACCACTCACACACATCACACACATCACACCCCTCACACACATCACACACACATCACACACATCACACACACATCACACACATCACACACACCCCTCACACACATCACACACACAACTCATACACATCACTCTGCCCACCCACATACCACTCACACACCACTAACCTTCATCACACCCACCTTGCTCACACACACACCACTCACCTCCATCATACATCCCACCCACACCACCCAACACATACCATCGTCCACCCACACCACCCAACACACACTCCACCCACACCACCCAACACACACTCCACCCACACCACCCAACACACACCACACTCCACCCACACCACCCAACACACACCACACCCCACCCACACCACCCAACACACACCACACCCCACCCACACCACCCAACACACACCACACTCCACCCACACCACCCAACACACACCACACCCCACCCACACCACCCAACACACACCACACCCCACCCACACCACCCAACACATATCACACTCATCCCCCCACCCCTGTAGGTTACGAGCACAAATCCACCCCACAACTCCCCCATAACCTCGCACATCCCTCCCAGGGTGCTCATCCCCGCACCCCCTTCTACAGCGACGCCCCCCCCCCATCCACTCTGGTAGTGGTGGTGGTGGGGGGGCACAGAGCCCCCCGAATGCCCCCGTGCCCAACGCGCACTGCGCCTCCTCCCCAGCACCCTCGTCTGGCGCGTGCGCGGCGCGATTGGTGCAGCCGCGTGCGTGGAGCGCGCGTGCGTGGTGGAGCGGTAAAATCACGGTTAGCGCGCTGCGCACGAAGCTGGCGGCCCGAGATCGATTTCCGTTCAAAGTCAAAACCAGACGATTATCTGAACTGGTCATGGGCCTCCCCTAGGTCGACTCAGCCTCAAATGAGTACCTGCTGCATTATGTAAACATGGCAAATCGGGAGAAACAAGCGGCCGGCCATGGTCCTGGCCACCCACCCCCTCGTGTACCCTGCCGGCCGTTATTGGTGTTCAAGGATGTCCTCAGGCTCCTACGTTATCTTTAAAAAACAATTGGAGGCACGTAGTTTGAGAAGCTACCTTGGCTGTTTCAGAGGGCTATCCGTCTGCTAAAGATACAGCACAATGGTAGGCTAATCGACGCCCAGGTGCAGTCGTGAAATTATTTCATGAAATTACTTCATGACTGGTAATTGCTGCTGACTGTGAGAAGTTAGAGATTGTGGATATTCCTCCGATGTAGTATGGGAATATTTGGAGGTAATTGAACATGCTGATAACTGCTACCAAAGGTGTTTAAGATCAGCCTGTGTGGAGGTTGTTCGTGAAGGAAGTTGATGGGCAGTTGGAGGCGGTAAAGGAACGCTCACACCAATGAGGAAAGCAGTGGGCACAGCGGGGAGCTCAGGTGATGCATCTGCCAGTCAACTCAGTCAACCCACAGCACCTGGTTCTGTCCCGTAATCGATTCCCGAGCCTTCGACACTTCACGCGGCTTCAAAATGCACGTAGCTTGGCACACGCACGATAGTAACGTTAGTGCCACCTGGTGGCGAATGGCGGCTGTGGTTGTGTGTAACCCAGCAGGTGGCTCAGCGGTAGAGGGAGCAGCAGCGGTGGCTGAAGAAGTGCGCTGTGGGCCTCTTAGCCACCATCACAATAGACCAAACGAGACCGACTGACAACAGCAACATCAGTGATGCAGAGATACAAACTTGTGAACCGTTTCGTTATTATTAGGACTCATCAGCACAGTCGAGTCACCATCACCATGGTCCAAGTTTTGCCAAATTGGAAAATGACTCAATTGGTATAAATTTGCGCCAACCATCGCCCGTTCTGCGACACTTTTCTTGACCGTGACGCGCAGCGTCCTCGTGAGAGCTCTACGCGATAAGAATGCCGCAAATACCCAACGTACCGACAAATCACTATTTGTGTGCACATTTTTTACCTGTCCTGGAAATTACTCAATGGGAATTCGTGCAGCGATTATCGTCCCCTATTGTAACATCTTGGCAGGATCCTCTTGAAGAAGAGCGAGGCTTTCCTGGGTGAAAGAGCGTAATGATGATGGTTGTGTGCGTGCGAGTGTGTCAATGCGTGTGTACGAGTGTGTGTGTGAGTGTGTGTGTCTATGCGTGTGTGCGTGCGAGTGTGTGTGTGTGTCTATGCGTGTGTGTGAGTGTGTCTATGCGTAGATAGTGTAGCGGTTAGCGCGCTGCGCTATGAACCCGGCGACCCGGGTTCGATTCCCGCTCACGGCCAACACCAGTGACGATTATCTGAACCGGTCCCGGGCCTCCCCTAGGTCGACTCAGCCTCAAATGAGTACCTGGTGCGGTGTGTAAACATTGCCACTAGGGCGACAAAGGCGGTCGGGCGTGGTGCTGGCCACCCACCCCCTCGTGTACCGTTCCAGCCTTCATAGGTGCTCGCTAACAGCACTTGCCCCTACAGTCTGTTAAGGCTATATGGGGGATCTTTGTCTATGCGTGAGTGTGTGTGTGGGAGTGGTTATGCGTGTGCGAGTGTGTACATGCAGTGCTGGTGCAGTGGTGAGCGCCACTAGACTGCAAACCTGGTGACCTGAGTTCAATTCCCACTCATTACCAACAAAAGTGGTTAATATTTTAATTGGTCCAGGGGCTCAGTACAGTGAGGGAAAAAAGTATTTGATCCCCTGCTGATTTTGTACGTTTGCCCACTGACAAAGAAATGATCAGTCTATAATTTTAATGGTAGGTTTATTTGAACAGTGAGAGACAGAATAACAACAAAAACATCCAAAAAAACGCATGTCAAAAATGTTATAAATTGATTTGCATTTTAATGAGGGAAATAAGTATTTGACCCCTCTGCAAAACATGACTTAGTACTTGGTAGTAAAACCCTTGTTGGCAATCACAGAGGTCAGACGTTTCTTGTAGTTGGCCACCAGGTTTGCACACATTTCAGGAGGGATTTTGTCCCACTCCTCTTTGCAGATCTTCTCCAAGTCATTAAGGTTTCGAGGCTGACGTTTGGCAACTCGAACCTTCAGCTCCCTCCACAGATTTTCTATGGGATTAAGGTCTGGACACTGGCTAGGCCACTCCAGGACCTTAATGTGCTTCTTCTTGAGCCACTCCTTTGTTGCCTTGGCCGTATATTTTGGGTCATTGTCATGCAGGAATACCCATCCACGACCCATTTTCAATGCCCTGGCTGAGGGAAGGAGGTTCTCACCCAAGATTTGATGGTACATGGCCCCGTCCATCGTCCCTTTGATGCGGTGAAGTTGTACTGTCCCCTTAGCAGAAAAACACCCCCAAAGCATAATGTTTCCACCTCCATGTTTGACGGTGGGGATGGTGTTCTTGGGGTCATAGGCAGCATTCCTCCTCCTCCAAACACGACGAGTTGAGTTGATGCCAAAGAGCTCCATTTTGGTCTCATCTGACCACAACACTTTCACCCAGTTGTCCTCTGAATCATTCAGATGTTCATTGGCAAACTTCAGACGGGCATGTATATGTGCTTTCTTGAGCAGGGGGACCTCGCGGGCGCTGCAGAATTTCAGTCCTTCACGGCGTAGTGTGTTACCAATTGTTTTCATGGTGACTATGGTCCCAGCTGCCTTGAGATCATTGACAAGATCCTCCCGTGTAGTTCTGGGCTGATTCCTCACTGTTCTCATGATCATTGCAACTCCACGAGGTGAGATCTTGCATGGAGCCCCAGGCCGAGAGAGATTGACAGTTCTTTTGTGTTTCTTCCATTCGCGAATAATCGCACCAACTGTTGTCACCATCTCACCAAGCTGCTTGGCAATGGTCTTGTAGCCCATTCCAGCCTTGTGTAGGTCTACAATCTTGTCCCTGACATCCTTGGAGAGCTCTTTGGTCTTTGCCATGGTGGAGAGTTTGGAATCTGATTGATTGATTGCTTCTGTGGACAGGTGCCTTTTATACAGGTAACAAGCTGAGATTAGGAGCACTCCCTTTAATAGTGTGCTCCTAATCTCAGCTCGTTACCTGTATAAAAGACACCTGGGAGCCAGAAATCTTTCTGATTGAGAGGGGGCCAAATACTTATTTCCCTCATTAAAATGCAAATCAATTTATAACATTTTTGACCTGCGTTTTCCTGGATTTTTTTGTTATTTTGTCTCCCACTGTTCAAATTAACCTACCATTAAAATTTTAGACTGATCATTTCTTTATCAGTGGGCAAACGTACAAAATCAGCAGGGGATCAAATACTTTTTTTCCCTCACTGTACCTGGTGCGGTGTGTGTAAACGTTTCCACGCGGGAGGCAAAAGCGGCCGGTCGAGGCACTGGCCACCCATCCCCTCGTGTGCCGAGCCAGCCTTCATAGCACTTCGTTTGAGAAACTTACTTTGGCTGTTCCGGGGGAATATCCATCTGGTACAGATACAATGCAATGGTAGGCTGATCAATGTCAACGGATGGTTTCATGACTTCCTACTGATACTCGCTAAGGCTCTTTCCCCGACAGACCAACTAAGGCTATACGGGGAATCTCCTTTGTTTTTGCAGTGGTGGCGCGCGGCGGCTGGGCGCAGCGCGAGCTGACGAGGCCGAGCCGCTTGCTGTTCCGCGTGGAGGACGCACAGCGCGAGAGCGCCGCGCCCGGCGGCCACCTCCTCTCCACGGTGCTGCGCGGCGCTGCCACGGACTCCAAGCAGCAGCAGCAGCACGCACAGGTGAGGCATCAGCACCGTCACGCGGCATCGTCAACACCACGCAGCACCATCTACATCAAGTAGCTACATCATGCAGCACCATCGATGTCACATAGTACCATCAACGTCACGTAGCAGTGGATTCGCAAGAGGGCTGCACCTGGGATTGTTGTTATTGTATAAGTGTGGGAACGTTGTTCTGTACACAGCAGATTAATTGGGGGTTTGCTTGTGGTAACATAAGCCATGCGATTAGGTCTGTACATGCTGTCATCGTGCAGCAAGCAGAGAAGTTTCACCAGCCTGGCTCCTGAGCACAACGACAAAGATCCCCGCAACGGTTTATATATTCATCACTGATGTTGGCTGTGAGCGGGAATTGAACGCGGGTCGCCTGGCTCCTAGCGCTTTGTGCTCACCACCGCGTCGCCGCTCCTCGTATACACTCACTCAGCTCATGAAGCTGCATTGATACACTGGTCTGGGTTTTGTTTGACGTGGCACGAAGTTAACCTGCGAAAGGAATGCATTTTCTGGTAGCAATAAAATTGCCCATTTCGGGCAGTGACAGCAGCCTCATGTGACTCTCCCTGTATGGACGGCATTAGCTGACGCTGCTGAATGTGAGTGCTTTACTTGTAAAATGTCTGTGGGTAAGAGCCGAGAGATCTCTGTCTTGCCTACTCTTGCCTGTGGCAGCCTGGCTCAGTCGGTTGTTAATTTCTTAATGGTTCAGTCGCAGGGAATTATCACACTTGAGATTCTGGGCTATGACAACAGCACCCTTGCAAATGATGAGACAATTAATAGTTCACCCCTCCAGCAATTTGGAGTATGTCATAATGTGGAATGGCAATTCGAATAGAAAACACATTTTTTTGTCTCCTTTGTACAAGTTTTGTTCTCTCCATTGACCGAAATGTAACACGAGCATATCAGCATCAGCCACGATCTATCCACTGCTGGATGAAAGCCTCCCCACGTCACGCCCATCCCTTATGGCCCGCGATGCCACACGCCACCTTGCAGATGCTTGTGAGCTGATTCGGTATAGCGGTGGTCACCAGCTCGGGGTGGTGTCTCCTTTGGCTGCCATTCTGTCACCAGTCTCGACCGTTGGACTTCGGCCCTTCGAGCCACGTCTGCTGCTTGAGCCCACAACCTTTTCTTAGTGGTTGATACGATGTCTCTCTGATCTATGTGTCCCTCTTTCTGTCCCTCAGTGTAATTTTTAGCATGAATATCAAAACGTGTATTTGCGCACCTTTTAACTTATGATAAATTGTTTGCACTGATTGATAACTTAATTTTTAGACACATTGGTTCAATACTGTTGAATATCAAATTAAATTTTCCAAAAGTGATTTAACCTGCTCTCACTCACCCCTTCACATAATAGGTTTGGTGGGCCATCAGTGATTACCCAAGATGCACCTCATTGTGTGCTCCAGTGGTGTCCCTCCACCAATGATTTGACGCTGTTGAATGGACGCGTCGACGCGACCACTACTTTTCTCATGTTTATTGGTAACGCACTTTGCAGCCCTAATTATTAGGTTCTTCGATCATCTCTTGGATCATTTGCTCTAATACATTGCTTTTGGTTGTAATAATGACTGTCAATTAATCTGACTTTAAAACTTTCACCATCTATCTCCTAAGCCGTTTTTTTGTAAATCAAATTTTAAGCGAGTATCTTGTGACGTTGCGCTGTGACTGCTTTGATGGGAGTACCCCTTCCTACACGACTCCTCTTCTGATTTGTGTTGTGTTACTTTAGGGCCTTAGATGAACCCAGTGTAGCTATCCCCTATACAGTGCAGAGTATTTAATGAAGGCCTTGGTTTGTGAGAGCTGGATTAACTGCATCAGTTTCCACCAAATCAAATTCCTTTTCACACTCTACACAAATCAGACAAAATGGCATTTGTCTTCTCTGTAATACGATTCCTAGTATGGATGTGGTCAATGGTAGAAACATCTCTTTCTAAAACAGCTTGCTGGTTATTATATGTGGTGACCATTATTGTAAAGTCTAAGACTGATGGAGACATCGCTCCACCGTGGAGGTATTTCATTTTAGGGACACTTGTACGTCACGGCAAAAAGGTCCCTGTGCTCCTGACCCTGGCTCCATTATGTGTGGAGTCTGTATAGCCCCCCCCACCTGACTCTCTGTGGGTTCCTTCTGCGTTCTCCAATTTCCGCCCAAAGTTAAAAAGCATGTTCAGTTTAACTGGTATTTGGCAAAACGTCCCATTGCTGAAGAATTACCTCCAAATTAGTCAATTGGATTACATGTAGCAATATCGCCCACTACTGTAAAAATCTAGTGAGGCTTTCCTGACTAAACTAACGCAGTATTAAAATTAACATCTGGTTCATGTATTGACACATTGATGACACTCTTAGAGTTGGGTTCGAACAGGAAACTTCTGGATTACAAGTTCAGCGTGCTGCTGACCATTATACCACCATGGCAGCTCCCTTTTCGCACATTGTGAGCACAACAATCGATTGCAATCAATTAATCGATGCAGCATGGTCTCTACAATTCGTGTTAGAACACATGGCACTCGGTTCATTGCCCCAACATTGCCCCAACAGTCTGTTAAGGCTATACGGAGGATCTTTGTCTTTGTTTTTGTGTGGGGCACTGTTCCAACCTTCATTGATCGCACAGATGACACAGATAGTTTAATTGACCATTATCAAACTAAAACGTCGATGATGATATTTGGCAGAATATGATATTTAAGAAAAAAATCATTAAATTATGGTAGATGTTGACAGTTTTAGCAGCTTTATATTAAATAGAAAAGAGATGAGGGACTGTGTTAGCAGTGGTAGTCCATGGACCAGAGCAGATATTAATACCACATATGGTAGCAGGGCTAATAGCGAATTGTTTGATAACCGACTTATTGCATTAATGAGTACCACACAGTTCACTGTTGTTGGCCACATCAGGACATTTTCACGATTGTGGTAAGTTGTTGTTGTTGTTGTTGAGTAGCGTAACTAGCTCTGTGATGCTGGCTTTGTTCGGCGCTGCTCGTGCTGCTTGTTGAGGTTGTGAGTGCGTTGCACAAGGCCGCCATGATTCACACCGTGGGTGGAGCAGCCTCAACAAGACTACACGTCATCTGTTTGTGGATTTTCAAAATTCGTTGATGTAATTTGCGAGAGTAGGCCATAGTGTGTGAGCATCATGGTCCAAATTTGCAAATAAGAAAATGAGCTATAATTTACCCCACCAGATTATACACCGCAATCATCGCCCCCTCCTGCGAAAACCTTGCAGGACTCTCCTGAATCAGCGAAGCTTTCCTGGTTAAACAACAATAACAATATCATCGGGAGACAGTGGGATACGGCAGGAGGGGTGAGAGTCAGGCCAGGGGAATGCGTGAGAGAGCACGATGCCTCGTCACAGTGAGCGCTGGCCTTGGCCAAACATTAGGGGTGCTTTTAAAGGGTCTATGTTGTCAATGTAAATAAACACAATGCAGTGACGGCCATATCCAGCCACGATATTCTGCTGGAGCGCTTGAGCTACCGTGGGAAGGGGGCATGGTCAAGGTCACCTCAGTCCATCATCCCCCTAAGGTTTATTAAATAAATGGCTCATTGTGGGAAGTCAATTATGTTTACCCCACGGATAAACTGGCTCCTGCAATGGGGCATATAGTGTGTATAATGCTATTCTGCACTTGCGTATGGCAATATGTTCAGGAGGTAAATGCCAATGTCGAGGCAAGCCAACTACGAGAGGGCATCAGGAGAGAGCCGGCACAGCTCCGCTGGTCCTCCATCGAACAAGTGCAGACCACAATGGCCCGTCCTCAACCATCCAGATGCGCGCACTGGCCCAGCGATGCCCCGGTGTGGTTGATGCTTCCGCCGGTGCCTACGAGGAATGTCAAAGCCAGGGGGCGCAATGCCTGGAACGAGGCTTTTGCTCTGGACGTCCGCGGCATTCCACCCTGCCTGCTAGCGTTCCCGCGCTAGAGCCCAGGATGGCGATAGCGCCGTCCCGAAAGGGGGACCGGGACCTGAGTCAGTGGCGAGGCGTACCGTCAGGGCCCCGGTCGATAGGCAGGCCACCATCGGCAAGTGTGGTCTGCACGCTTCCACAGATGCCTGGCGGCAGAATGTTCGCCAGAACAGGGAGCCAGGGGATTTGCGTCAGCCCCAGTGTCCCGGTCAAGATGCGTACCACGTTACCCAATTGCACATCTGGTAGTTTTTTGTACGAGCTCCCACTGAGAAGATCGGCGAGAGAGCGGCAGTTCGCAGCGCACCAACTGAAGTGACCCAGGTCACCCCGTGGGGCATGAAGTTCAGACTCCTGTCCATGATAATCCCTCAATATCTTGTAGTGGGGCCACGGGCTACTGGGTCATCACAGAAGGACCCATCGAGGGTGGCATCTGCTACACGACCGTTCAAGCAGAGAGCGCTTGTGGGCAGCCTTGAAGGCCGCGGTCGTCGTTTTCAACGGTGGAACCACACCCTCAACAAAGCCAGATCGGCTGCCAGAATGCTGGCCATGCCCTCTGGTTCACTCAGTAGTGTAGCGCGCGAACCACTGCACTCCCCACCTAGCCCAGCTCTGGCTCAGCTCTGGCTTCACTCTAGCTCAGCTCTGACCTGGCACTAGCCCAGCTCTAGCACACAATGGCTTGCATTTTGTTTTCAGCTCTTCGATGGGGTTTCTGGTGAAAACCACTTCGACTGGTATGTGCCGAGCTGGTGCTTGTAGTGATGGAATGGCAAGCAGTACAGCAGCATTCGACCAAAAGTATGATATTCTGGCACAGTGGATTGCGAGTAAAACAAATAACACCCTCAAGATACGAGGGCAGACACGTGTCCATTAATTACCCACAATCCACCACAACAGCTCATACTGCATGCTGTACAATCGTCGCTGTACTGCTCTGAACGGGCCACAGCGAGTGTGGACAGATATTGGCTACCGCATCAGGCAACCAAGCGTCATCCGTTTAACAGGCCACACTCTGCTGATGAGACCCATAGATGAGAACGTTTGGCCGCTTGAGCAAATTCTGTGGGAAAAGTTTGAACTAGAAACCCCAGGGGCTGATGGATCACGCTGTGGTGTTCCCCTGGTGTAGCGCTGGCTCCTGATTTGTCCAGGCTGTTTTTTCCTAACTTGACAGTAGCGTATTGGTTTTCAGAAACAATTTTAATTTGATTCTAGGACGAATGTGATCTCAGCTGCCCAAGGGCCACGCTGAGCTGTTGTTCACCATGCTGCTTGGTTAGCCAAGTGTCTCGCAAATGTCCAGGGCCCTCTATGCCAAACACTTTACTCACGCATTTTAATCGTAATATTGATTTCACACGCAGTGGGAGTTCTGTGTAAGGTGTTAACAATTTGGCAGGTCTGATAAAAGTAAAGATCCCCTTTGCATTTTGTTGCCAAATGAAAGCAAATTGAATAGCACTCTGAGCATTGAACATTAATGCTGAACCCCAAGATTCCAAACGTCGCCTTGGCCTGGGGGCGTCGATAGCGAACCCCACCTGGGCGTACCTCCTGCCACCAAATCTCTCCTCGTCCGGTTCCCTGTCTAGCTCGCTCGCTTGCTCGGGGCCCTCACACCAGCGGCTCCACCTTCACTCCCCTGGAACCGCCTCCCTGCTCACTCCTTCAGGCCCTGCGTCTCCTTCAGGCCGTCTGTCCAGCGCTCGATCCCCATGTCCCAGTGAAATGCTCCCTTTTTCGTGAGCGTATCTTTAGATCCAGCCCTAGGGGGGAGAATGTTGCTGTGCCGCTGAGTCTAATTGAGTGTGTAATGTGTGTCGTAAGTCAGTTGCACTGAATACGTGGAAGATTTGCCACAGGTCAATTAGAAGTATTCATCCAGACAAAAAAGAAACTAAAATGAGAATTTTGCCTATCGGTCCATTAAACCAAAGCTGGCTGTCATAACGTAGCAGGCTTGCACACAGAATGCACACAGCAAACACACAGCACATACCATGCAAATAGCACAAATACAGTACGCACACAGCACCCACACGGCACGCAACATGCACACAGCACCCACACAGCATACAACATGCACACAGCACCCACACAGCATACAACATGCACACAGCACCCACACAGCATACAACATGCACACAGCACCCACACAGCATACAACATGCACACAGCACCCACACAGCATACAACACGCACACAGCACCCACACAGCATACAACACGCACACAGCACCCACACAGCATACAACATGCACACAGCACCCACACAGCACGCAACATGCACACAGCACCCACACAGCATACAACATGCACACAGCACCCACACAGCATACAACACGCACACAGCACCCACACAGCATACAACACGCACACAGCACGGATACAGCACGCACACAGCATGGCGCTCAGATGCTGTTGAGCTCATCGAGTATCTGAGCGATGGAGGACTGTCGATGTCCATGTTCTACTCCGTGGTTTCCATCAGCTGCTCTTCCATGTGGTCTCCCTGCTGCTCCAGTTTGTTCTCCTCCTGCGCATTGCCACTCGAGTGCAGCTCCTTCAGCCCCTCCTCACACGCTCTCCACCAGCACGCACTTCTTGTCACGCACTTCCGCTGGCGATGAAGCCGCCACGGAGTGTCGAACGTCTGCCCAATCACAGATGGTCATTTAGACGGCAAGGTGCCACAGCGGTACTACGTATGTCTCGCAGCAGGAACTCCTAAGTTCAATTTCTCACTCGGGTGCCTTTGTATGTGGAGTTTGTATGTTCTCCCCATGTTCTGCATGCGTCCCTCTGTGTTCTCTGGTTTCCTTCCAGAGCTAAAACAAAGACCATACAATGTAACTGGTACTGACCCAAACGCTGATAGATCAGTCCACGAGGTTGCCTTCCCACATCTTTGCTGGCAATGCGTCGCTCTCCGGAGCGCCGAGTACCCTCCCGAGTAGACTGCCGCCAGGACGCACACTCGCACTCCTCTTCAGGACCGTGCCTCTCACCTGTGCTGGTGTTTCTGCATTGCCTTCCAGTTCAGACCGTGTTGAGTTTAAGATCCTTCTACTTGTGTTCAATGGGCTTGCTCCGCCATTACATCCGGGAGTTGATTCTTCTATTAAGATCTCTGAAATACACCAATCGCACCCTACTTAGCGTGACCACGTTCCAGGCCTCGACCACAGGGCTGCTGTCGGCACGGCGCCCATGCTCCAGAGTTTCCTGCCCTCGGAGGTCAGGGACTCGCAGTCGATGGAGACTGTCTTGGCTAAAGACCCCAGCAGCTGTTTAACACAGAGACCGCCTCTCGTTCTCTATATTGTCTCTTTAGTCATTCTCTCCCCAGTTACTTCTCACTTATTTTCCTCTACATGCACGGCATTCTGATATCCATTGTTTAAGGGCGCTTTAGAAATCTAAGTTATTATTATTAAAACGTCTAAAATAAAATAAAAATTACCTGCAAATTACTCAATTGAGATTATACATAGCAACATGGTCTTGAGACCCGATACTACTTTCTTGGGTGAACAAAGTAGTCATAAAAATAATAAATACATAATTATCTTCAGGATGTACCCTACATAACCAACTGTGCTAACTCCACATGAAAGAGTGGGACCAATGGCTGACTCTGGTATCTCACACTCCAGTGACACTAATTGAGAACGTGACCCATTCTCCAGTTTCATGATCTAGCAAGAATGGCTGCGTGTGACTTGCATGGGCACTGAGGTGAGCGCTTGCGTGGTGCCAAACCCGGTGCCGCTGTTGAGCGCTTTGGATTGCGAGCGTTGCCGCGTAGTGATGCCCATGTGGATGTCACCCCACAGCACGCGGCGCTCGCCAGCTTCCTGGTGCCGGCGTTCGGATCCTCCTTCACCCTGGACCTGCAGCTCAACCAGTGAGTTCCCCAGCTCCACCGCACACCCACACACTAAATTTCGATTTAAAGCTTTCGTGACTGCAAGGATTCATCTTCTTTGGTTCTTTCGGTAAAGTCACGTAGAATGAGAATAAAATAATAAATTAAAACAATAAAATTCTCACGACGTTTCGGCCACAACACAAGTGGCCTTCAGGTGAAAGGGACAGACCTGTTGAGAATTTTATTTTTTTAATTTATTATTTTATTCCCATTCTACGTGACTTTACCGAAAGAACCAAAGAAGATGAACCCACACACTACTTAACTTAGCGCTAACACTACGAGGCCTTCGGACCATCAGGGCAAGTGCTGTTAGTGAGTAGCACCTATGAAGGCCGGCACGTCACAAGAGGGGGTGTTTGGCCAGCACCACGCCTGGCGCCCTTTGTCTCCCGAGTGGCGATGTTTATACACTGCACCAGGCACTCATTTTAGGCTGAGTCAACTCAGGGGAGACCCAGAACCAGTTCAGATAATCGTCACTGGTGTTGGCCGTGAGAGGGAATCGAACCTGGGTCGTTGGGTTTGTGGCGCAGCGCACTAACCACTACACCACCGCTCCCCACACTGGGCCTCTTCTTGTCATGTAGAGTCCGATCTGCCTTGCTCGTGAACATGCAGAGACAGCGGTATTCCTCCCCCTCACTCTGGCACCACCGCATTGGCGTTGCCCCTCTGTCGCCAGACCGCATGGTGGACCGCGCGTCGGGCCATGCTCAGTTGTGTTGCCATGGCAATGAGTGCACGACGGGTCCTGTGCTGTGGAAGCAAAGCCTCCATCATACGAAAAAACATAAAATGGAGAAAAATAGATGTGTGGACTCTATATACGCCTTAATATGTCTGTCTCTTCACATAAAAAAAACTCAAGTATGTTTAACCCAACCCACCGGGCATAAAGCCTTCTGGGATGGAATAATTTCAACAGTGTTGATTCAGCACAATCAACACTCTGGACCGGTTCGACTCAGTGTCTTATGAGCAGGATCGGGCTTGCCAGATGTTCCAGGCAAATACTTTCTCTTTAATACAGTGAGGGAAAAAAGTATTTGATCCCCTGCTGATTTTGTACGTTTACCCACTGACAAAGAAATGATCAGTCTATAATTTTAATGGTAGGTTTATTTGAACAGTGAGAGACAGAATAACAACAACAACATCCAGAGAAACGCATGTCAACAATGTTATAAATTGATTTGCATTTGAATGAGGGAAATAAGTATTTGACCCCTCTGCAAAACATGACTTAGTACTTGGTGGCAAAACCCTTGTTGGCAATCACGGGTGTCAGACGTTTCTTGTAGTTGGCCACCAGGTTTGCAACATTTCAGGAGGGGTTTTGTCCCACTCCTCTTTGCAGATCTTCTCCAAGTCATTAAGGTTTCGAGGCTGACGTTTGACAACTCGAACCTTCAGCTCCCTCCACAGATTTTCGATGGGATTAAGGTCTGGACACTGGCTAGGCCACTCCAGGACCTTAATGTGCTTCTTCTTGAGCCAATCATTTGTTGCCTTGGCCATGTGTTTTGGGTCATTGTCATGCTGGAATACCCATCCACGACCCATTTTCAATGCCCTGGCTGAGGGAAGGAGGTTCTCACCCAAGATTTGACGGTACATGGCCCCGTCCATCGTCCCTTTGATGCGATTAAGTTGTCCTGTCCCCTTAGCAGAAAAACACCCCCTAAGCATAATGTTTCCACCTCCATGTTTGACGGTGGGGATGGTGTTCTTGGGGTCATAGGCAGCATTCCTCCTCCTCCAAACACGGCGAGTTGAGTTGATGCCAAAGAGCTCCATTTTGGTCTCATCTGACCACAACACTTTTACCCAGTTGTCCTCTGAATCATTCAGATGTTCATTGGCAAACTTCAGACGGGCATGTATATGTGCTTTCTTGAGCAGGGGGACCTTGCGGGCGCTGCAGGATTTCAGTCCTTCACGGCATAGTGTGTTACCAATTGTTTTCTTGGTGACTATGGTCCCAGCTGCCTTGAGATCATTGACAAGATCCTCCCGTGTAGTTCTGGGCTGATTCCTCACCGTTCTCATTATCATTGCAACTCCACAAGGTGAGATCTTGCATGGAGCCCCAGGCCGAGGGATATTGACAGTTCTTTTGTGTTTCTTCCATTTGCGAATAATCGCACCAACTGTTGTCACCTTCTCACCAAGCTGCTTGGCAATGGTCTTGTAGCCCATTCCAGCTTTGTGTAGGTCTACAATCTTGTCCCTGACATCTTTGGAGAGCTCTTTGGTCTTGGCCATGGTGGAGAGTTTGGAATCTGATTGATTGCTTCTGTGGACAGGTGTCTTTTATACAGGTAACAAGCTGAGATTAGGAGCACTCCCTTTAAGAGTGCTCCTAATCTCTGCTCGTTACCTGTATAAAAGACACCTGGGAGCCAGAAATCTTTCTGATTGAGAGGGGGTCAAATACTTATTTCCCTCATTAAAATGCAAAACAATTTATAACATTTTTGACATGCGTTTTTCTGTATTTTTTTGTTGTTATTCTGTCTGTCACTGTTCAAATAAACCTACCATTAAAATTATAGACTGATCATTTCTTTGTCAGTAGGCAAACGTACAAAATCAGCAGGGGATCAAATACCTTTTTCCCTCACTGTATATGGGTCTTAGTTCGAGGCATTTTTTTTTAAAGACATAACACAAAATAATCAAAACCATCATTGTGGAGAATGTAGGTAACAAAGTGGATAAACAGACAATACGTCTCTTTCAAATATCTGTCTCTCCACATAAAATATAAAAGTACGAAATCAATTCTGAATCAATGTTCATAATAAAGGTTTTTGGGTTAGATCGCGTTATTTATAAATGTGTCGTAACCCTCCACCACCCGACACGGCCAATCAGCAAAAAAGTGTCACGTTGACAAAAGACAATTAGTTCACTACTTTAGCCCACCGGTGTGTTGAAGAGTGAATCCACAACATTTACAGTTTGAGAATGACGTTTCGCTGGTAAGTACATCCAGCATCATCGGGCAATTCGCCAGATGATGCTGGATGTAATTACCAGCGAAACGTCGTACTCAAACTGTAAATGTTGTGGATTCACTCTTCAACACACCGGTGGGCTAGAGTAGTGAACTATTTGTCTTTTGTCAACGTGACACTTTTTTGCTGATTGGCCGTGTCGGGTGGTGGAGGGTTACGACACATTTATAAATAGCCTTTATTATGAATAATATTGGTCGCAAAAGCCGAAGTGTTAAACTGAATCAATGTTGCTGAAATTATGCACTCTCAGAAGGCAGTGGGGATGATGGGTTCTGTACAAAATATGTTTTTTTTATTTTCTACGTGGAGAGGTTGAAGTGTGAAGGAGACGTATTGCCTGCTCATCTATCTTCACCGGGTGCCGTGAGCTGCCATGCGTGGACGGCTAGGACAGCAACCAAGCGCATTCACCGCTTCCATGGAGATTCACGCGTTTAAATACCACGCGCATGGAAGGGGCTCTACGAACATTTGCAGCGGAATGTGATGAGGAACGGGCAATGGTTGGGGGGAGCACGGGGAGCGAATGGAGTACAGGTGGACAGGAGAGTGGTGGACGACGATGTATGGAGCAGGGTAAATGAATTCCATCCTACGCAGGACATTTAATATTTTTGCCGTTTTTAGAGCGCAAGGCTATCGTGATGAAAGCGTTCTTTCCAGACGCAGTCCGCAGTAGTTCCACATCAGAGGGCGATGTTGCTCTATATGATCCCAAATTAGTATTTTGCGGCTTAATTTTAGAAATCTAGCAAATTTGGACAGTGACGCTGGCACACAATGGCCTACTCGTTTCAAATGACGTCAGGATATATTTAATGTCCACTCTGAAGCCGACGTCGCGTAGTTCATGATGAATATATAATAGTACACAAGCCGTAATGACCAGGGCCACCTGCCAGATCCGAACAGCGGCCCTCTGCAACAAGTGTCGAAGAGAGCTATCACTGGGCCACCACGTCACTGTCTCTGAATCTGCAAGGAGGCTGCAGAAGGAGGCCACCTCGTTACAGGAGATGAGAGCTTTGGAGCGTGGATCTTTGAAGCGTGGCAGGGAAAGGGCGCAGATGTGGGAGGGGATTGCAAACTGCAGGAGGTGGTTCCCGCGATGCTGAGGCTCTTTTGATGGCCGGAAGGCCCGGGTTTTGAAGACCGCCAGAGCAACCTTGAAATTTATTTGCAATTGTATCGGAGGCCGCGAGATGCCCCCGAGTTATGGGGGAAATGTGATCGCGTTTCTGGAGACGGGGGGGGGGGAGAGGTGTGGGGGCCGCCCGCCAATTGGAGCCGCTCGCCTACGGAGGCAGCCCGCCCGTTGAGCGCCGTGCCGCTGCTGCCGCACTGCCGCCGCGGCGCGTCCACGCCCCGCTGGCGGCGTCACGAGGCACCAGGGTGGGCGTTATTTATTTATTTATTAACTCCTGCTTCGGGGGCTGCTACCACCGTGGAGGATGCGTGTTACCGGGCAACCATGGCCCGAAATCCTGTTTGTGATGTCGTAATAACAAACACTTTCCGTTTAGCTGTTATTTTAACAGCTGTGATTTATTCGTAGTCGAGCAGTTGAAAGTGTAATTGATAGTTACGTGTTATTTATTAGCCTATGAAATCATACCAGAATTGTGTCTGACCAACAAAAAGTGTTGGTTAAAAGAAGCAGGAATGCAATTGTTTATCACGTTGTGGCAGAAAACAGATAATAAGGAAGTGATTTATTTGATATGGGCCTGACCTAAATGTAGGCCCACATTGTTTCTGTAAGGCAGTGATGGTGAACGTCGTTCTGTGATTCATGCTAAATTTACAGAACCAAATTCCACTGAAGTCACAGTCACTGTGTAGTGCTAGGAGAGGTGGATACACACATGCACTGTGTGAATTCATTTATTCAAAGTAATTTTGAATTCAAACGGTGTAATGTTTCAAAATGATTTGGATTTCGATACATTG